CACCTGGTTACAGTTTTGTTACTTAGTTATTACACGCTTACTTTTTTTTAAGTATAAAAACCTACCTTAGAAGCAGAGCAACATCATAGTGTAGCTCCAGATTATATCCCTGGCTGGTAAATGCCTTTTTATCGTGTTCTATAAACATCTGTTGAGTTCAGCCTGGTGTCCGAGTGGTCAGTGAGTGGCTATTCCTGAACCTGTAACAATTCAGGAAAGCTGAAGGAAGTACGTGGCACCTCTCAGAAGAATCTTTGCAAAAGTCCAGGGAATCAGCTGATGTATAAGCACAGGTCTGTTTCTGGGCTCTATATGCTATTTCAGTGATCGGTCTGCAGCAGCATCATTTTGTCACGGTTACTGAAGTTTGAAGAAAGCCTCAAGCAAGTAGATCGTCCAATCTTGATTGTTTTTTTTTTTTTTCCAATCTTGCTTTTTTTTTTTTTTTTTTTTTTGAGGTGTATTCTATATCTCTAACTTCATTTGACTTTCCAATGAAATTTTGGAGCAGCTTAACCCTTCCTCCATGTGGAAGGGTTCCTCCATTCCTCCATATGGCTGGGATCTCACTGACTCAATCAGTTCGGAGGGTATGAATTCCAGAACACATAAACTCTTCTGATACATGGACATCTTTGTTTTCAGTGTACAAGTTTTCCACATCCATTAATAAACTTATCGCTAAGAATTTTGTCTCCTACTGCTACTGGTAGTAAAATCATTTCAAATCTCATTTTTAAAAATGTGAGAAGGATCTCATTAGATAACCCCACGCAGTCCTGGAACCCTGTCGTAGACCAGAGTTCTATATGGGTGGGCCTCAGACTCACTGTGATCCATCTGCCTCTGCATCCTGGGTGCTGGGATCACAAGCCAGTGTACCTCACCTCACCCTGGCCCTCCATTTCAGTTAGAGTTCCCTATAGAAATATAACCAAAGGAACATATATGTAATACATATAGTGTATGGATATATGCATATAATTATTTAGAATTTATTAAGTGAGCTTTAAAATAATCAAATGGCCAAACCACACCAGAGGTGCCTCAGTGTCAGAGCAGTCCCAGAATAGCTGTCTCTTACTGGGGAGACTACCAGCAGTCATTTGGCCCACAAGGTGGGGCCCTTTAGTAGTCAAAATCTGGCACTCGAAGTCTGCAGGGCTCCTGAAGAGCTGCTGGTTCCTTTTCCAAGATGAGTGTTTGGAAACACTGGCTCTAGAGTCAGTGAAGGACTCAGCTACAGCAGCAATAGGGAAAATTAACTCTATGGCAAGAGAGAAGGGCAAGCCGGTGAAGGGCAGGAGTAAATGTCCTCCTGAAATACTCTTTCATTATTATTATTTTTTAATCTGGGCTTCTACTAGAAGGCGCCATGCACAGTCCAGGACAGGTTGCTGATGAAGTCTGTCTGTAAACATGAGGCAGGGACAAGTGACCCCTGGCTAGCTTGCTAAGCTAGCCAAACTGTGAGCTCTGGATTCAAGTGAAAAAAGCTGCCTCGGCATAAAGGTGGAAAGCAATTGAGGGAAGACACTCGGTGCCAACATCTAGCCTGGGCATGCCTCTGGCACAGGCGTATGAATGTGCACGAACAGCATAAATACATACACATGCAAAAAAAAAAGTGCCTGCATTTGAGTTGCTGGCTTGAGTTTCATAAGTTGTAGATGAATTCTAGCGTGGGAATAGGAGAGAATTTCCAACAAGTTCTGCAATGGCTTTAAAATCTACATCTGTCATTTTATACTGCATGATTACTAATTTTTTAAAAAATTTTTAAAAATTGTGTTTTTTGATTGCTGGTCTCGTGTAGCCCATGCTAGCATCAAACTCACTCTGTAGCCAAGGCTGGCCTTCAACTCATGATCACCCTGCCTCTACCTCCCATATGCTGGGCTTATAGACATGTGTCACAACATTCAGCCTAAAATCAAACTATTGATCGACTCTAAAAGATGTTGAAGATAATGTCCTACAGTATCAAATACGGTCTCAGCAAAAGAACTAAAAGGTAAATAGGCACACCCATATTCTTAGAACACGCATTTGTTTTATTATAATAATGAATGCTAACACTATATGTATAATTGTTTCCATTATTTTTTCTGATTTGTTGTTAGTGAAATTCACTCCTATAACTATATACATGAGTGTGTGTAAAACTTTCTCAGGTGAAAGGGATCCCAAGAAAAAGCTTAATAGGCTCTGACCTAACATACACATCCTCCCTGCCTGAATCCATGTGTGGGGGACTTGGCGCTTCCTGGGGTGTTGTGATCTGGCGTAATGTGCTGGAGCAGCGGTTCTCAACCTGTAGGTTTCGATCCTTTCACAGGGGTTGCCTAAGGCCATCGGGAAACACAGGTATTCGTATTACGATTTGCAACATGAGCAAAATTACACTCACAAACTAGCAACAATAGCAACTTAATAGCTGGAGGGCACTGCCACATAAGGACCTATATTAGAGGGCTGCAGCATTCGGAAGCTTGAAGCCCTTGTACTAGGGTGCGGTGAAAGTTAGGGCTAGCCCCCTGTCATGCTGTTAACATGTATACTCCCGTGTGTGGGGATATGAGTTGGCGGATTATATTATGGGATGGCGCTGTGCTGTGATGGGGGTAGTGTGTTGCGGTGTTACGGGATGGCATAGCACCGTGGGGTAGCGTTGTGGTATGTCGGCGTGGTGTGGAGCTCTGGTGTGCCACTTCGGTGTAGAGGCATTGTGGTGTGGTGCTGTGGTGTGGCCTCCTGTGACTCCAGTGGAATCATGGGTAGCTCTCCTGCAGCCTATGCAGCTCCATGGGGACAATGACCAAATGGTATTGTGGTAATTTGGGCTGTCAAGAGGGAAGTGGCAATTTAGTGACTTTTCTTGGGCAGGTTGGCTTCATATTTTATAAGAAAGCAAGTCTTTTTGCCATCCTGCAGCTGCTCTATTGAATAATTAGACACAGCTGCTTTATGTCACAGATGTACAAACCTCATGGTGACACAGCACCTCTGACCCAGCCCACCACACCGTTAACTAGAGCACAGCGACTGGCAACAGCTGAACATGTCATTTAAAGCTATATTTTAAAGTTTCTTATATAAAACGAATCACAGCTCATATACTAACTTTAATAGGAGATGGGCGAGGTTTTAAAGTGTGTCCGTGGTGTGAGGGGCTGTGGCTACAAGGTGAATCAACCTCAAACACAGCACCAGAATTCTGCAGGAATTTCTGGCAGGTGCTAAACCTTGCAAAGGACCATCAGTTCGGAACTTTACTCCTTGGTTTTAGTTCCATGATTTTATAACTTGAAGCTGCATCTTGTACACTGTACAGGCATCTGGGCTTGCACCCATGTTATTATCTTATTACCCTCTAATAGAGAATTTCTTCTGCATAAAATTGTTCTCTACCCTTATTTGTTCTATGAACAGATTCACTAGAAAGATCCTTCTGTTTTGTCTTGGTTGGTGTTGGCCAAACAGTTCCGTTTCTAGGGCAAATCTTTGATTCATTGTCTTTAAAAGAACTGATTTTTAGAAAAAGGACTCTGATGTCTACCCAGAAAACCAGCTCAGAATGTCAGTGCAATGTCCTGGAAGGGAGGCTGAAGAGTGGAAGTTAGAGCAACAGGAAAAGAGACGGGGAGTAGGGAGCTAAGTGGAAAAAGAATGACAGGTTGACTGAAGTTTGTAGTACTGTTTGTCTACCCTGTGTCCCCACTGCTACCAGAGTTCAGACAGAAGGAACCATGAGCAGCAATCGTTGTCCTGACATCCCTCAACCTTAAACTTTGCCCCCTTCAAGGTAGTTCTTTTTAATGCCTGAGAAGTTTCCACACTGATTTCCAGCGTGGCTGTATTAGTTGGTACTAACAGTGAATAGGGTTCCTCTCCATCTTTTGTCATTTTTTTGGGGGGTGGTGGTGGTGGTGATAGTCTCTCTGACTAGGGTGAGATGATATAACAGATGATATTAGTTTGCATTTCCTGATGGCTAGAGATGTTGAGCACTTTTTCTGCCCATGCTTCTCATCTTTGATCACATCCCTGACCACTACTGCCACTTGGCTGAATCCTGTCTGCTCTATCTTGGACAGGGATTGTCCAATAAAATAATTATGTGTTGGGAGGCTTGTCCTCCAGCTGGTAGTCTTCACTGGGACAGCCCTGAGAAATTTTGCGTTGGCAATGTGAAGTGTCTATTTAGTGATTTTTTTTTTTTTTTTTTTTTTTTTTTGAGATTCGGGAAACCTCAAAAGGTAGGATCCAGCTTAAGGAAGTAGATCTCTGGGTGGTTCTGGTTCCTGGATCCCCACTACATCCTCTATCCTTCCTGACTTGCTGTTCTGCCCAGGCCCATGCAGTCAAGCAACCATGGACTGAATCTTCTGAACTGTGAGCCCAAATAAGTCTTTCTTCCCTTTACTGTGTTTAGGTCACATATTTGGTTTCAGAAAGACAGAGTGACTTGCACAGCGTCTAAAAGGCAAAATTAAGAGAAAAAAAAATTATGGATCTCAAGGATGCTGGGAGCAACAGGTGTTGTGTTATTTGATTGCTCAGTCACGTGGAGCCTTGACACCAGGTGACCACTTTTCCCCCCGTGCCGTTCTCTGTAGGTAACTGGCACCATGCTGATGATGGTTGGACACTGTGAGATCCTGCTCCCCAAGAAAGAAAGTTGGAGTGGAAACTTGGTTTTGTTTGGTTCCTCCTGGCTGTCCTAAAGATCTTTAGCCAGATGGCTCTGCACTGTAATTTATGGCTGATCTTTCTTAGTTACCTGTGGCTATAACTAAAAGGAAAGTGTGTTCTCTGCCACAAGGGCTGGTTAGTGCTATGCCGGGACATCAAGAGAGACCAGATGGTTGTCTGTGTGTTGGTAGGCAGCTTTATCATCGCGGTTTCTCTAAATATATTTGCTGCATTACAGTGCATGCTGGTCATCCCCGCCCCCCAGGAGTGGCCTTCCTCTCTCCTTCCACCTGGCCCGCCGCCTCTCACATCACAGAGCACTTCTGTTCTGCCGACTGCTTGATTTCTGTGAAGGTGGCTTGAGCCTTTTCTTTAATGGCATCCAAGTCCATGTTCTGGAGGTTCTGCAACTGCCCAAGGATAGAATCCTTCTCCTCTTCCTCATCTTGGTCTTCATCTACCATCTTTCGGAGATCTTCTGGCAAATCCACATCATCCCCAGCCAATTGGATTTGTGTCTCATCCATTTCGCTCTATGTGGAAAAAAAAAAAAAAAAGGAAAAAAAAAACACATAGAGAAATAACTCAGAAATTGGCCAACTGGTTAAATGGCCGAATAAAGTATAAATGAAGCAGGAAAATAAAGGACTGTCAGGAATGAGCAATTCGAATGACATGTTTGGCTGCTGTGCAGAGGTCCTGATCCTGGAGGCAGTGGCAGAGACTGCAGCTCCGGGATGGGAGACCCCTCCCTCTACGAATCTTGGACTGATCAGAGTCTTCTAGCCGAAAAGTTTTCCAGCTGTGTTCCCAGAGCAAGCAGCATTGGCATCATCCAGGAGCCTATTAGAAATAGAACTGTGATCTTAGCCCAGACTTACTGTATCAGAACCCTGGCAATGGAACCCAGAAATAAAATTCCAGATTCTCTCTCTCTCTTTCTCTCTTTCTCTGTGTCAGATTTTATGTGAGTGTTTCTCTGTATGTCTTTGGATCATATGTGTGCAGTGCCTGGGATTGGAGACAGAAGAGGGCACTGGATTCCCTGAAACTGGAGTTACAGACTGTTGAGAGCCATCATGTGGGTGCTTTGAATTGAACATGTGTGTTCAGGAGGAGCAGCCAGTGCTCTTAACCACGGAGCCCTCTCTGTAGCCCAAGAGACCCTCTTGTTGTTCATAGAAACCACAGGTTCATTCAAGCTCCTCCTCAGGGCAGCATTAAACATCCTGTTGGCCCCACGCTGTGACTCATGGGTTGCATTTGAGTTGGCAGTGACCGCCAGTGACTCACTTCAGTGGCAGCTCCTGCCTAATAATTGCTCTTTCCTTTCCCTCTGCTATACTGGGGTTCGGCACATAGAATCATGTCTGACCTGACTTTAGGCCTTCCTCCCCTTGCCCCGTGCCTGGAGATTAGTGTGACACGTGTGTTATAGGTGTGGTTTCCTCATTGTCACTGTATGATTGGCTCTGTTGCCATGTTACCTGGCTGTAGCCAGGATTTCCAAGTACATTGTGCCTGGTTCTGTGCCCTTTATGCTGTAGAGCTCTTAAATAATGAAAAACAAACAAACAAACAAATAAACAAAACAACAACAACAAACAACCCCCCCCCAAAGAATAAAGTTTCCCTAAGAAAGGCTCATAGTAGCTGATGACAGCTCTCAAACCATTATCTACCAGGTTGCAGTAGACGGTGAACTTTATTTCAGGAGTACAGAAGGGAGTTCAAGGCCCTGGAAAAGGCCCACGTTAGCACCCATCTCATATACGACCAGCCTTATATTCACTACCAAAGCTCATGAAATCGCTAGTGCTCATTTTAGTTTTAATCAGGTCACACTGATTTGACATATGACAGGTTGGGATCTGCTGAGTTCCCTGGTAAAGTCAGCATTTAAGGGAGATGGGAATGCCTCTCCCCTGAGTGCCTAGCAGAAATGATCAGAAACTAGTTACAAGATCTGGGAGATATGTCAGGATAATACACACATTCTCCATCTCTAAGTGGGCTTAGGGGAACACAGTGGCTGAAATCTTCCCCAAGTTCTGACAGTCTTCCGCCAGGGGAGGGGGATGCGGAGCCTGAAGACTTTCCCCTAGATTCTCAGTTCTCTGGTTCCAAGCAGAGGGACAGTGAGTCTGGCACAAGAATGAGCTTGGGAGGCAGGGGCTTGATGCCTTTGAGAGAGATAGTCCTCATTGAGACCCTCTCTAGAGAGCTCCAACTCAGCCTCTGAAGATGTGCAGCTCAGCCCTGCACTTGGCAGGTGACTTAGCCCCTCCTGGTGCTTAACAGATTAATTAGTTCCTACTCAAAGCATTGTGTGAGTAATTAGTTAATCCCCGGGGGGCCCCCGCCAGGCAATCTTGTGGTTCCATTTGTTTATATTTACCTATTCTAACAGGACTGTTTTCCTTGTAGATTATCCACTCCGTGTTTCTGCTGGAGGAGTGGGAGAAAGACTCCATCCAATTCTCTTTGAGTTTCTGTTAAACAGGAACACTGCATCCCTCCCAATCAAATGCAAATGGTTTAAAGGGCACTCCTGGGGGTCCTGGCCCCTCCTCTCTGCTTGGGAGTAAAATCTCTGCACACATCAGCAGGCCAGATCCTGGGCAGAATGACTCTGGACGGAGTGACCATTGTGGGCCTAGAGGTTCAGGCGTTAGGGCTGGGAGAGCCTGTGCCTGCCAGCCGGCCTGTGCAGTGTGACACCAAACCTGCTCTCCCCACAAGAGACAGGATCTCCCAGCTCCAACTCCCTGGACCACCTTAGCACAAAACATTCCTCTTACTATTCTGGGAATCCAAGAAAGTGTCTTAATGGCTTCCTCCCTCATCCATTTGTCCAGGGAAGAGGAAATGCTGGGAGCCCCTGGGTAATGTCATCTTAGATAGTTCTGACTTCATGAAGCTGGGAGTGGCTAAAGCAGACACCTGTTTGATGTGAGGGAGATCTGGTTCTGTCTGAGGCCTGTTCATTTATTTGGGATGTGTGATTGACGGTTCCTGATGTATGACGTCATCCAAGTCAGTGGTTACCTCTTGCCATCGGCTGCCTCCCCCAGTCTTGGCTCTGAGGGAGGTGAGGCTTTGAAAAGCTTCTCAGGTGGTTTCGGGCATGTGGGTGGCCCCTTTGCTGCTGTTCTTAAGGAGTACCCACCTCCCGCAGCACACCCAGAAGGTAGCAGAGGCGTGGATTTGTCTTTTCCCACAAAGGTCCTCAGTTTTTAGTGTTGGTTGAGAGTGGGAAATCATCAGAGTTTCTAGGAAGCAGCTGTGCACACATGGCTCTTCCTTCCTCATAAAGACTGCAGAGCCTGGGAGAGGTAACCTAGTCAAGTTTCTCATTTTCAGCTGAGGAAAGTGAGGTCTTATAAGGCAGATGCTTGCAAAAGCATCATTGCCTGTGGGTGTGATGGCTTATGCCTATAATTCCAGCACCTAGAAGGCCGAGGAGAAAGGAGGATTTCCAACAGTACAAGGCCAGCCGGAAGTACACAGAAAGTAATAGAGCAGTGAAGCAGGTCATCTGCCATTCCTTATTGGGAATGCCGCCTTTGTTGTTGTTAATCTAGCACAGCTACCAGAGTGGCTCAGCAGGACAATATGGCCGGTAGGGTCAGGTCAGTTTGGTTCACACCATGTCATACACAGGCTGTGTGATTTTGAGAATTTGCTTTGCCTCTCTGGGTTGGCGTGCTATGGACAGGGCAGTTGAAGGCTTAAGCGAGGAAGCTGGTGTGGCAGAGGAAACCTGCCTCTTTGTGTCTCAAGATGCCCGGTCCCTCTGGACAGTCAGTCCACTGCCCTTCAGGGGGCTGGGGAGGAGGAGGAGCCAAGGGAACCAGGACAGGCAGAGGAGGGGAGGAGGGGGTGGAGGGAGGCGGGGGAGGGGACCTCCCACTTGAAGCAGCTGCTGGAGGCAGGCTGGCTCTGTGTCTCAGACTTTGCTGGAGCTCCAAGGACCTCTAATCCTAAAGAGACTGCTGAAGATGCCTTGAGCCAGCTTTAGTATTATGGATATTTTTGAATGAAGCGAATCTTAAGTTAAATTTTAGTGGAGTTTTCGATATGACACAGTTAAAGACGGCTGTGTTGAGAGACTCTCATAATGAGCACCGCCCTTCCCGGGGCAGACAAACGCCAGGTGTAACTAAGTCTCCCAGCTCAGCAGGGGGATGGCATGCTCTCCAGTGACTGACCCAGATTGACAATTGTGTTAATAGGATTGGGGCACACTCTGGAACTCTTTTCTCTTATTAATTTGGCTTGACTTACATATACATTTTGAATCAGCTGGGGACAGGGCTCACATACTTTTTAGGAAGAATCTTGTGGCTTTATTTAAAACATGTGACTTGCTGGATTAGAAAATGTATGACATTTTAATTACAGCATAGAGAAGGCTTCTGTTGTGTACAACACCATAATGTCTAATCCAGCTCTGTTCTTTGCATAAAAAAGATTTGAATATTCTTCTTATGGCAGGTTCTTTCTACTGTTTCTGATATGCTGTTCTTTGAGTATGGGACATTATTCTTTTTCTGTTGTCCCTAAAACAACCATTCAATCTGTAGTAATATTTTCTCTCCCTCTCTCTCTCCTCTCTGTGTGAGTGTGTGTGTGTGTGTGTGTGTGTGTGTGTGTGTGCGTGCATGCGTGCCCTCAGCTTCTTTGTGTCGTGGCCAACGGTAGGCACAGGGACAAAGATGAAGCCAGTCCTGTTGAGAAGCACATGGCAGCTGTAAATATTTAGGGTCCTAAGAGGATAGAAGGCAATGGTTCTCAACCTTTCTAATGCTATGATTTAATACAGCTCCTCATAAAATTTTTTTTGTCACTACTTCATAACTACAATTTTTCTATTGTTAAGAGTCTTAATACAAATATCCATGTTTTCCGATGGTCTTAGGTGACCCCTGTGAAAAGGTCATTCGGTCCCCCAAGGGGTCGCTACCCACAGGTTGAGAACAGCTGATAAAGGGGCTGTGCACCAAAGAAGGTGGACCTGGAGGAGGTGATCTAATGCGGCCTTCCGTGGGGAAAGGAGCCAAGAAAAGTCTTAGAAGAGGCAACACTAAACCATCAGTCTCCTGTAAAGGAAAGGGAACGTGGGAATCAGGGAGCAGAGACAGTGTGGGATGAAAGTCTGGGGAGCATGGAGCAGCCTGCAGTGAAGCCAGAGAAGTGGAAGGGCAAAGCTCTGGCATGGCATGCAGGGCACAGCTAGGATTTCTTTTAAAAGCCGTAGTTAGCCTTTGGGGGAAACCCACACAGACAGGGAAGGAACAAGAACAGAGCTGCATCTGGGAAATCGCTTACTCCAGTCACAAGGCCCAGAGCTATGGAAAGTGCTACGGCTTGTACGGGGGGAGGGGGGATGAGGTGAGAGTATCTACAAGGTGAATTAAGGTGTCTGGGTGGGTGACTGAGGCTAGAACAAATACAAGAACCAAGTGTGATTCCATATGCCAATCTGGCTGCGGGTGACCGTGACGGCCACCAGCGAATGTGTAGACTGGAA